TGATGCCTTTGGCCATGAGCATAAGAGGAATATATGAAAGCTCGCATGTCAATGACTATCGCTCATAACGCACTGTAGTATTAATGGGCCAATTAAGATCTCGTTAGTTTCCTCTATATAATAAAATCTAAACCGGTTAAAAACGGAATCAAGCAACCATCTGTCTTTAGATAATCGGCTACGAGCGGAAAATATATAATATTTTAAGATTACGTAATATAACAAAGAACTTTTCTTAGTAAGATAAAATCTATAAGGCGCGTTCCGAACAACAGTAAGTGTAGTCTTATGCCCCTTTGTTTATTACTAAGGAATCGTCCAATTATACTTTAATAGATAGCGAAGGGAACGTAGCTAATTCTTTTAACCTAGTAGAGGGATAAATACTTCCCTTAGAATATTCTTACTATTAAGCTAAACGATTGTTAGAGCATATTATCTATAAATACTATGTTATTAAATACAAAGTAATTATAAAGTAATATCCGTCTACAGGTGCTGGAAAACCCACCGTACCGGAAAATTTGATAGGTACTTTGACTTCAAGCGACTATAACTCTGCGCACACGTTGAGCTTTATTAGTATAAGGAATATATAATGCGATGTAGCCTTTATAAGACATTTGGAACCATTCTAGTCTCTATATTACATACGCGTTGTCGCCGTCTCGCCTAATTAACTTATAGTCTTATTTTCTAGCGAAATAGTCTCCATCCGCTATAGCACTACTATAGAGTCTTTACAACTTACTATACATATATAAGGGTCTTATAAGCGCCTAAGAGCCTTCTTACGATAGTAGAAAATCATTGTTTGCTTTATACCTACTATTGTGCGCAGACTCATCCAAGGTCGCCAACCCTAGTTAGTACCTCCGATTAATTTACTTATCAATATTAGCTAGTGCAAATTGAGTTTGCACGGCGCCCGTAGCATTTACGGTAATTTATATTTTATACTTGTTATTAGGAAGCTAGGTTTGTGGCTGTTAAGCCTATGGCTATACGTACAATTATAACTATAATAATCCGATACAATTAAGACCTAGTCTTAATATTGGATACGTATAGACCTCGCTTATATTATTAGAGCAAAACCTATAAAGCCCTAAATAATAGGTAAAATCTTATATTCTATACTGTTTCTATTGCTTCTTCGCTAGCTTTGTGCGCTAAATAGCGCCGGCGTATCTATAGATTTGCAGTTTCTCTAGCTAATAAGCTTGTTAACAATCGCTATAACCTTTTAGCTTTAGTTTTCCTTACTATAGACCGGCTTTACACTATGTTGTTAAATTTATAGTAGTTAGACTATATTTCAATCTTCCCTTATCTTATTATTATCCGTCTAATTATCTCTTTAATAATCTTCTACTTCTCTTAATTACCTAAATTTAATATTAATATAGTAAAATCTATACTATAGAAGCATTTCCTTTATTATTTAAAGATTATTATAATGGCGAAGCGCGCCCTTCTCTAATAGCATTTGCACCACTGTCTCGTGACCTCTAGCTAACGCCGCTTGCAGTACATTACTATAATAGCTACCTTAAGCGTTGATGTTAGCGCCTTTCTCTAGCAGTATTTGCACCACTATCTTGTGACCTCTAGCTAACGCCGCCTGCAATACGTTACTATAATCCCTACCTTGAGCATTAATATTAGCGCCTTTCTCTAGCAGTATCTACACTACTGTCTTGTGACCCCCTAACGACGCAGCTTATAATATAGTACTATACAAAATCCCCTATCGACCAATAACTAAATAACAATTACTATTTTCTAGGAAATATTTAATAGACTAGATATCCTAATCGCTTTTTTACTCTCGGAAATAATCTGCTTAATAGACTGCACTATATAATAAAAACACATAGCTTTAGCAGCATATATTCGGTTCTATCTATCGATGCTTCTTCGGAAGAATCGTATTATATAAGCTCGCTTAACATAAATCTACTTCTAATAAAGAAATTAATTGCAGATAAATCTTTATTAAAAGTTGATAAGACCCTCCTAGGTCTAAAGACTATTGCTAGACTCTTCCTATAGGAGGTTCAATATTAACTTTACTAAGTAGGAATTCTTTAACTATTTAGTAGATAAAATAGACTTTAAATTAAATAACTAATACTATTAGACTATCGCGACTTAGTAGTATATCTTATAGTTAAGAAGCTCCCTCCAAGTTTAGGTCAACAAAAGATAAAGTTTACTTATTAATATGTAACGCAATATCTATTTTATTTAATATAAGCGGTCGGGCAGCGACTAAAACAATTTATAACATTTTTCTCGCAAACTTAGGGTCTAGGCACTTCTAGAGTAAAACTTTATAAAGACTTTATATATTATTTAGCAAATTATTAACTAGCTTATCTATTTCGGCTTTAGTACTTAATAGATTTTTTCTAATAATATTCTATAGTAGATAAAGCTATAGATACGTCCGGTGCTTAGTCTCTAGAAGTCTCTTTTCTAAATAATTGCTAACCTTTAGGGCAAGACAAATTTCTTCCTTTAAGTTTGCGACCTAGTATTTAATAACTAGATTAATCTCTTGCTTAATACTTACTAATTTATCGTTGCCTGCTAGTTCAATACTGTTAGTCACTTTTAATATTTTCTTTAATTTTCGTCGGATTTCAAAATATAGTCTACTAGTAATAAGATATTTAATACGAAGTATATAGGACAATACTTGTTAATAGAGGTAGAAATCTTCCAAGTATTCTAGTAGTTTCGATTGCACTTACTTACTATATTTATTTAAAGTATTGAAAACGCAAATAATAACTAGAGCAGTAAGATCTATAGCAGCTACTAGAAAGATAGACTATAGTTCTAGTAATGTTGTGGAAAGTGCTATACTTCTCTCCTTATATTTAGGTAATACGTACTAAATCAACTAAGGATAGTATATAAACAATTAATATAAGATCGTATAGATAGCTCAGGAGGCGCTCTATTGTTTATTGCTAGTATCCTTAAAGAAATAGTAGAGAACTAGTGGTAACAAATTATTTCGAGAGACACTAAGGTCTTTATTAACGATGTACCGAACAAGAACAGATTTTCTACACCTAGGATCGGCAGAGACCTAGAGTAGCCTTTAGGTGTTATTGTCTCGCTATTTAAGATATTTTAGGTTTTTAAGCGTTTATAAACATATGTTAGGGACACATTTTGGGTTTTAGTTTTTTTAGGACTTATAGTCGATTTCGCTTAGATAGAGTAATTGAAAACAGCTATATTCCTCTGTCGATATTTTTGCGTTTAGCTTGTTAATTTTCTTTTTTAGGCGCTTAAGTGCTTTTTCTTGTTTTTCCCTATAAATCAAAAGTATTTATATATTGAAAAGCCCGAATATCGAGTATACTTTATCTTCTTAGCGTCTTGTTTCACGAGACTTAGCTTAGTTAAACCGTTTATCTACTAAAAATTCACTTAATAGCCTACCACGCAGAGCTAGGACAGCAATTCCTATGATCTCATAGATCTACTATTCTAATAATCGCTTATAGCCCAAATAGTAGCCCTTATTTAAGAAGAACTTAACTGATCGTAGCGCAATTAGCTCCTATAACGTCTAGCCTCGATAGAACCATTTGCTTTGCCTAAATACGTCTTCATATTAGGTGTTTACTAACGAAGCTGCTTTATTATGTTTATCAATTTCGACATCTATTAGGTAGACATAACATTTGGTCGCGTACTGATACTAGCAAAACATTGAATTAATAGCCCCGCTAAGCTTAGTAAGATTTTCTCTCTGAATACAACAAGTATCTATCCAGAAATAGTCTATTTTGTCAGTTGCAGCCTATTTCCTACAGAAATCAATCTTCTTCCAGCTAGCTTTCCTCTTTCTCTTATTTTTACCCGCTATAAAGTCCTAAAATGTGACTTCCTTGTCATCTTCTCCCTATGTATGCAATAATATAGCGTAGAAAGGGATTTAGTTTTCATTATATTCCGTAAGACATAGGTTCCCCTGTCCTTTATCTTTAATCAAGCGCATCTTTATAGCGGTTGAATTTCTAGACTATAATTCGTTTATAATAATATTGAAAACCCTTAGTTGATGAGACTATTTGGCTTGCGAGCTTCTGAGCTTGCAGGGTCCTAAGCTGACGGGGGTTCTAAGTGCCGGGAATAGCTAATATAATAGGCGCCTCCGATAGCTTTCGTTGGGGAGTCTCTAGCTTTCTGCGCAGAGCCACGGCAAAATAAGCTTCGCGGCAATAATTTATATAAATGCGCAGCGGGAGACGAACAGGTGAAAGGAGCGCTAGCTGGCAAAAAGAGCGGGGTACGCCCCTGCTGCCTAAAATAGCTACGCCACTTAATGGCCGATAGATGCTTCTAGAATGTGAGCCACACCTGAAGTGTATTAGGCGTAGTATATAATACAATACCATAAGCTCGTATGTAACAGCGTGTTTCCTTGGTCGCGCTAAATCATTATTAAGAGTAAAATGCCCGCTTTTTCAAGCGGACAAATCCGGAATTGTGACTTTCAAAGCCCAATGTTGTTTTCAAAGCTTAGAAGGAGCTTCCCTAGTTACATGGCCATTCATATAAAGCTCCGAAACTTGCAGTCCTATGTACACTAACCATCAAGCAGGATGTAAAGTATATAGGCTTTGAAACGCTTTAGAAAGAACGATAAAAAGCACAAGCAGGATTATTGTATTTTTCTAGATGCATAACAGCATCCTAGGGACAAGCCTATGAACAATGCACCTCGACTTTTTGCAAACAAATAGACCTGCGATGAGAGTATACAAGGTGCTTGATAGTGGATTCATTCCGGCACAGGTGGTTTTCCGCCACCCGTGGATGGACGTTAGGCGCTCCAAGCTTTCGTAATGCCATGGACTGTCCGTAAGGGAATTCGAAGTATTGGAGACTTGAAACATTTTCTAAAACTCAACGGAAAAATTTCCGCACTCTAATACAAATTATCGGACAGTAAAATGCTATTCGTCCCTCTAATGACTTCCTCAAAGTCATATCCTAGTATTTCTCTTGACCTTATCTGGTTACTACATAATAAATCTGGATATAATTCGGACGTGTTCAGACGGAGGAGCCGCTACTTTCGTCACAGGCTTCGCGCAATCGAGATTAGCGCAGGCAAGTTCCTATCCGCGCCATGCAGCCCTACGACGCCAACAACCAACGGGGCAGACGCCATCTCTCCTAAGACATGTCGCGCTCAGCTTCAGCATTGGCATGATGACGTAAGTATTTCTATTTATCGACTCTTATCATGTCCATCACGTGGGGAATACGAGACTGATTCTTTATAGTTACACCCAGCCATCCACCGCAGCGCTCAATCTTCTCCACCTGCTGAGCCTACATCCATAGCGGCCGGTCAGGTCAACTTCGGCCTACTCGCGAGCTCAAGTGCGGGTATCACCCACACGTCTATATCCACCTTAACCGCCGACGAGGACAACTCCTTCAAGCAAACAAATGACAGGACCTTCGAGAAGGCACGAGATGCGTCGGGAGCTCCCACGGGTGTCCAACTGTCGTATGCTGGAACAGACTCAAGCGTCTATGGGAGTCACATTCAATTCACCGCACTTGCATCGTGCCATGCTCCAGACATTGCTCCAGAGCCGATATCAGAAATCTGCGGTCTGGGAGAACGCGATCTTATCCAGCACCAAGAGCGAGAGCAAAGTGGAGCACAAGATCAGGAACAGGAGGAACAGCCAGAGCAACACAACGACACCACCCATGATGACCGCTGGACTAGGAAGAGGCTGAGATCGCGGACGGGAAATGCAGTCGAGCTTTCACACAAGCAGAAAGCCAATCGTCAATTAGAGAGCACCTCATTGTCGCCGGGGAGACTCAAGATGCGACAAGGCGTCCAAGCTAAGACTTCCACCAACGTTGTACAATTCCCCATTACGGAGCTCCTCAATGGGATAGCGCAGGAAACTTCACAAACAGACAGGAGACAAGAGATGCAGCGTCTATTGGCAGGATTTCAACGAGGCGTGAGTCTATTCTCGAATCGTACCAAGGCAGAGTCCCTCGCCATTGGAACTAAAGCTGATGTGGTGCAACTGTTTAATGACGTCTCTCGCGTGGTACAGGAAATCGAAGACAGCGATATATCGGAGCAGGTACAGCGTGTGCGTAATCGCTTGGCTTTGGCTCGGTTTTATCATACTTATCGCACGGCTCAAGCCAATCCTCAGAGATTCTTTGATTTTGTTAAAGGCAGAGATTTTCCGACAACCGAGACTTTGGAAGGGGGAACCTGCACAAAGCGGACTTTGGTCAAGGAAAGGATGATTGACTTGATCTTTAATTCACCTCAAGACGGGAGGAAACGCAAGAAGGACGCGATCAGGATCAATAATTGGCAAAATTTGGGCCGGCCTTGGCATGAGCTTATCACACGATTTGGGGCAGGCATACTGTTTCTCGTCAGGAAAGATGCGACTAACGACAGGCACGTGACTAGCACTTTTTTTATTCCTTGTTGGTGTTTTGCAGTGACTGATTCACAAGCTAGAATCCGACGTTTGGACGATCGCAAATTGTCGCAACTTATGGAACTTATTGATGGAGACCTGAATTCCAGCGAATGACTTACTCGAAAAAGATTTCTCGAATCCTGCAGGAGCAGTCGAGGCAGATTCAGAGTTGGCCACGGCCAGTAGCGGAGACTTCCTTGCTCGCTCACTCGTTGCAGGGTCAGTCGAAAACTCGTGGCTGCTCTCGCCTCTCCTGCCCGGGTGTCATGAAGCCTTCGAGGCCGTCGACACTTTTGCGGAAGCCGAGCTAGATGCGCTTTTGAACGCTTCGTGGTGCCAAACAGCCGATGAGCAGCAGACGGACCAGCTAGCTCGACAGTGCCATGTGTGGGAAAGTACTCGGTTTGAGGATCTGTCGGGGGTCGAGAGTCAATCGCGACGAATCCCCTGCTTTCGCGGTCCAGCGTTCCAGCCAAGCCGATATCAGATTTTGCCCTTCTCGCATTTCGGTCGCTGGCAGCTGGCGGTATTTGACACCTTGAAGTGGCAATTGGTGTGCTATGACTCCATGTGGACAATGGGATCACCAGCTTCGCTATTCACGGTGAGTGGGCCGTTGATATAGTATCCATTCAGGTTCGCTCATCGCTTTCAGATGCTGCAGAAATGGTATGATGACACCACTGGAAGCGTGGATGTAGAGCCCTATGAGTGGTGCCATCAGAAAGTAAGTCATACGAGCAGAATCAACTTCGAAGACTCGTGCTGATTATTAGGATATCCCCATGGCCTGCTGCTCAAAACAGCTTGACATAGCCAGTGATGTCTTCGGTACTTTATGTTTTCAAAAGATCGTTGGAAACCGCTGGTGAGACTGTGCAGTCTTGGATATCGACGGCGCAAGTGTCAATTATCTCTTTTTGTTGCTTCTGCCTAACCCTGTTCCGACAAGCAAGGGTTGAAAGAGGATCAATGAAGATCTTGCGGTCCCATGAGCTCAGCTGTAGAATAAAAAGTTTCTGCGGACCTTCACTGATCTCAGGCCTGGACGATCTGCCTCATGATTGTTCTAGTATATCGGTTTCCATTCCAAACTTAAACATTATATTATGATTTTTTGCTTTGCGTTTTTGTGTCAGAAAGGAGTTTTCCGTAGCAGCCATTGCACAACGGCTCATCGAACTGATCCTCAATGTAAGCCACAAGCTTTGATGTTTTTTCAAGAGTGCAACGACTGCAAGTGAATTTTGTCCGTTTAAGAAGTCGACGCAAGCACAAAGAGTCACGCGGCGGGAAGGTCTTTTCCACCTCACCCAGTGGAGTTGTTGGTTTTTGAGTATCCTAGTTAATAAGAAAGAGTTCGTTAACTGTTTCTTCTTGAATGAACATATAAGCACAGGTGTGAAGCTACTGACCATGCTGCCCTTCAAGCTCAAGCATGAAAGTGGTTTGGAAATTGAGATCGAAGATCAAAGGTTTGGGAAAGAAATGAGAAAAAGAGTAACTTATGTCGAAAAGAGGAGACATAGACCTATCCTGGAAGAATCATCTGCAATGACAATCGGTGTAACACAGATGATTGGAGTAAAAGTATTTAAGCGCGCGGAGAGCGGGGATTCGAGCTCCTCAAAAACGCCAAGACTAAGTACCACACAAGCGCACATCTCAAGCTTTAGGTCATTGGAGCTGCTATCGCTCACAGCCACAGATAAATATTTTGCTCCAAGAGCGCTCTGAAAAGCACTTATTCACAAAGAAGATACCTTCACCTGAATCTTGATGTCGCATTCTCCCCATATAAACAATAATAGATATCGCCTTGACGGGGAACCCGTTACAAATTCCCCGGGCCACAGTAGGGGCAGTTGGTTTCTCCCTTCAGATCGGGTATCTCAAGAATCCTCCGTGTCCTTGCTTCAACATTCATTTACCCCTACTAATAGAAGTATATCTATTGAAATGTCGGATAGGGAGTATGCCAATGCAAAACGGTCTTATCGCATACTGAAACGACGCGTATGGAGGAATCAGCTCGACGTGAAATTGGGATGCTTGTTGGAAGCCCAAAGAAAGCATGCCCACCAAAGCCGACATCAACGGGCATACAACTAAAGGCAAAGGAGGACAAGTCTCCGACTGTCAGTGAAGTGGCACCATACAAAAGGGCACCCAAAAAGAATATGTCAAAGGAGAGGGTTGGCGTTGCTAAACCCTCTCAAGAAACGAATAACGGTGGATGCACAGAAGTGACATACAGCGATTGCCTTGGATACCCGAATCTACTGCCTAATGAGCCAATTTAAACATGCTCAGAGGTTTCAAGTAACGGCTTGACGAAGATTAGTAGGGGTTTGACAAAATCTTTCTGCAGAGCTCAGGAGCTGGAAGAGCTGCACAAGCGGTACTCAACGTAAGACAGCGGATGCTGCAGCATCACAGTCTATTCGAACCCGCTTCGTTTACACTACGGGCTGCCAGTTATGGCTCGAATTCTGAATGCAAGCCTATGCACCCAACTTGCCGTACATAATCCGCGGACGGCGCAGTGCTTAAGCCTCAGCACCCTCTTCGTGGCGTTTGCATTGATTGAATGTTTACACACCATGTTTGATCTGCTTGTTGGCCCCTTCAGTGAGCAAGAAGGTCCAAATGACCGTCTTAGCTCCTTGTTCATGCTTATAATGCAGAAGTCTTTCACCACCGGCATGAAAATGGGCGACGCTCGAGATTCCACACTTTATCCTACCCTCCACCACCATCCTCTGCTATAACGGAGACACGTCTAAATTCAACATTAGACAATATCTACATCATCCAGGGTCATGCCCGTCTATACGTCCTTGCAGAGAAGTATGGATTCGAATCTAAAAGCTGTTGTGCTACACAAGCTTCATGACATGTTGTGTCGTGCAGGCGACAAATGGTGCTGAAGGTTCCAGTCACAAGCGTCAGAAACGATCGATGACTGCAGACGCACTTGGGATGACCAGTCACTTGGGATGACCAGTCACTTGGGATGACCAGTCACTTGGGATGACCAGTCACTCCAAAGTGACAGAAGGGCCTATGACTGTGCAGCCAAGCGCCGCACCTGGCGGCTAGCAACTCAGCCTTAAAAGCTTGAGATCCTTATTTAAGAAGTTTCTAGAACATGGGCTTGCCCCTCCCTTCTGGCCCTTTCTGGCCCCCTCCTTATTGACTTCACTTTTAGCTCCCTTTAGTTCTGGCTCCTAGACAGCAGGCTATGGTGTATACCAAAAATGGTCCAAACCATCAGCCGTGGTAAAATCCATCCCGGCATTGTGAAACACCCCGCGTAGTGAAATTTGGTCCAGGCACTTCGGTTACTATGACTGTACGTTCTCTATCTACCGCGTCGATAAACTAAGTTAGTAAGGGGTCCAAAGACACAAAGTTTCGTCCCCCAGACAGTATTGTCCGGAGATCGCGGTCGCAAGACAAATAATGTCTTCAGACGCGTGTCTCTCGACACACCGTTTTGAGACAGTTGTCTCCGGACAATACTTGTTTAGAGACGACGGTCCCCAGACGTTATATATCTGGGGACACTTCTCGCCTAGAGACACTAGTCTCAAGACGTTATACGTCTGCAAGCACTCGTCTCAAGACACACAGCGTCTTGAGACAATATTGAGAGATCAAAGGGTTAGACCTCACGGGTCTGCACACAAATGGTGTCCCCAGACATTTGTCCTAGGTGCTGCCTTTGGCATTTGAGAGTGTTCCTTCCTCTCAATCCCCAATATATCTAGTCAAAGCTATATTTAGAATTACATTTCCATTACAATGGAAACTGAAATCAAGTTCTTTCTGTACCACAGAGTCTTTCCGTGCCATAGGGTCGTTCTGTATCCTCACTTTGTGGAAATTGACTGCCGGTACTCCTGAGTATGCCATATTCAAATTCCTCCACAAATTGAGTGGGAGGTATTCCCCAATAGAGTACTCCCCTGGGGAGTATTTCCCATCTCCATTTGTGGAGGACTTTGAATGTGGGTGTACTCCCCCAGCGCATACTCCCCTAGCGCATACTCTCTCTCCCTCAGCGGAACCAGATCCCGCATAGTTGAGCTAAAAATAGTATGAGCCCCCTGTTTCAAATTCTTCGGAGGATAGAACTTCCTTAGTCAGCTCGTGTGATATAAGAGTCCATGGTCTTGGGCATAGGTATCTCTCGCTCCTTAGAAGAGCTGGCATTCCTGGGAAACCATCACATTGTGGCCCCCCTAGCACCAATTTTGGATGCCCAGCTCAGCCAGAATTTGAGGGATCCTTCAGGGTCAAACGCCTTCCTACATTTTTCCTCTTCCAAGCCGACCCGCCAAGAAAAGATGGCTCACTTTCCGGCGGTTTTGACACTTAATTTTATTCTGGAAACCCTCTCCTAGGAGCATGATTCTCCCCGGAGAGGATTATTACTCGGAGACTATGCCCTAGATAGCACAGGTAAAGGGAGACGGAGCCCAGAAGAGGATGCCTCCAAGGATATCATAGCTCCTAGAAGGCTACGCCTGGGAGAGCTTCACTTCTGGGAGATGGGGTCTTAGAGAACGTCGCTCCCGGAAGACTGGGCCTAGAATAGCGAACTCATGCCAGAGTCCCATTTTTACTCATAGAGGTTCCTTATTTCCTAAGAACTTTCTCCCAGGAGCACAAATTTTAGCTAGCCAGCTTTAGGATTGACAGGAAACATATGTTCAGCCTATCTATTAGTCTTTCCATATAAGGCCTATTCCTCACCTCGTAGGTCCATCCCTTGATGAAGGCCTGCATAGAAGAATTTCGCACACTCTAGCATAATTGATTAGGAATATATATTCGTAGAAAGCTATCCATTGTTCTTTATATGTAATACTATAGCCTATCCGTCGCCTTTCCAACGCATAATATTATACTTAGACGTAGTAGAATGAAATGAAATTTAAAATAATACTACTAAGTCCTACTATCGCAATAAATACCGCTAAAATCAGCTTACTATGCCTTTAGCTAATACTTTAGTTTTAGATATTTTACCCTATTCTTTAAATATTTCTATATAAGGCTCTAAACATTATCTCGCTGCTGTTTAGTCCTAGATACTAAAAGATAAT